GCGTGATGTAAATTTGCATTTCATTGTTAATAGGCCAGCAAAGATGATAATTATTAGAATGACAAGTCTATTTCAGGTCTAAATAGCGTGTTTGTGGAGGTATGCTCTGAGCATTTTGACGGTTGTAGAAACATCCGTACTGGGTTGAGGTCTTAGGTGTCTACACTAAAGATATTATTTGGTAGCTGGATTTTTGATAGAGATGAAGGCATGGTAGCTGTTAGGCACACAACATTGTTTGATGGATTATTAGAAGACCAAAAGTAAAACCACGGAATATAATTGATATAAATTTCGCTCATAGGAATGGGTGGGAGATTAGAGAATTATTTTTGCAAATTGAAACTGGATCATGTTATAGTCTTGCAGTTGATTTGCCCATGGGAATTTGAAAAATTGGGATACTGTTGTGTGAGGAGAAACCTGTGGGCCTAGAATTTCTAATAATAGTCTCTACAAGAGGAGTTCAAGAATGCATTCTACTTGTTAGCCAAAGTTCTCACTTTCCTCCGCTTTTCAATGATATTGAAGATTAAGGTTAATAATTATGTTTATACATATTGTTATTGTAGTTATAAGTCCACAGGATGCACCTGTTTATAGCCCACATGTGACTAACATGTCCATGGTCCATGTATTAATTTTCACGACTTGATAATTGGTGGTAGATGGTGTAACAATCTAAATTTTTACATTTGGAATAATTATACATGTACCGTACAGATAACTACATAAACAAAAGAAAAATATAATATTTTCTTCCTTAAAAATGTACATATTTAAAAATAGTTTAACGAAAAATACGGTGAATATTACTAAAATTTCTTAAACTACATAATTTATTCTTCCTTTCACTAATGCAAGCACAGTCAACCTCCGACCACTTCGAACCCTCCTTTTTAGTTACCTATAAAAGATTTAATACATACATGTGAGACATAAATCTCAAGTAATAACGAATTGCATCTTATATTTAAATACGGAAAATCATAACACATATGGAGACATGAGAATTAAATTCCGAACTTCGTGACTATAATTCCCGTGCGTAGCACTGTTAAATTCCAGTTCTTTGAATTTATACATATAGGACTCTTATCATAATATTAACTTGAATTTCCGTATCATCATATTTATAACATAAATTTTTGTAATTCAAATATTGAAAGAACAATTCGTACTATTACACTTACCGTCGTATGAAAGAAGATAAAGGTAAATCGAAGAATTTGCCTTGTTAGACTTTCACTCCAAAATTCATTGAACACCATGCGTGCTAAACTTTGTAATGTGAAAATGTTTATGTGGAAGATAAGTTGAGAGGAGGAGAGAGATAAAATATAACATAAGTTGTGTGTTTGCGTAAGTGATGTGGGGGATATAAATATGAATGAGTGGGTAATACTTGTGTATCTACTAAATGTATGGTTAAAATTAATGAGTAATGGACGAGTGGGTAGTACTTATGTATCTACTAAATGTATGTTTAAAATTAATATTTAACTATAAAAAGTAACTTTCTAGAAAAAAAATGTAAAATGAAACCTAAATAAAAGCCTAGCCTTTTTTTGGGTAACAATTTATAAATAATTTATGAATTCAGTCAAAGTCAAAACATTAATTTCAAGAGCACATTCTAACTACTCATTATTATCTACACGTTGTGAAATCCACTACTATTCCTCTTTATAAACCATTTTTGCCAAACGGAGGCTTAGTGATTACATAACAAAATTTTAATGTACTACCAGAATTTGAAATAACCTAGGACTCTCTCATAATTATCACTACTAATAGAATTTTTAAAGCATATTTAATTCTCATAATCCTCATCATTTCCAGTTTCTTGTAATTTTTTCTCACATCCTACACGTGCAACAGTGCCTTCTCTTTCTGTGTAATGGCAGGAAAGAAAACAAAAATCTTGTAAAGCTTCCTGTGATATAAATTAAGGGAACAAAAAGTTGAGTCCAATAATAAAAAGTCTATACACATCTCAGCCACCCCGAGGATCAGCCTTGTGGTGTAAGTCTCAGTAAATCTAGATGTAAACCTTGTTAAATCTAGGCACAAGTCTTGACAAATGGTACTCAAGGCGTAACCTTCAGACAACTTTTTTAAAGCAATGCGCGATTCTATTTTCCCCGTAACAGTCACCAACTTAGAACTCCAAAGTGGTCTGTCTGCAGTTTTATTACCAAGATCAATATTTTGACTGGACCAGCCATTAGGGGCGTGTTGAAGAGTTACCTCATAAAATTATAAATATATTTTCATGCCGCATTCAAATAAGAATTTTGGATAAAGTTATAAATATATTTTTCCAATATGAAGTTTGGATACTAGTGTTCAGAACTATGTGATTTGATCCATATGCAGGTTTTGGAACTGATCTACAGTTATTTCATCCTTATGTATGTGTTGAGGAATCTAAGGTTTACTGGATTGTGCTTTTGAAATTGGAAGTTAGAGTTAAGTGTGAAACAAGAGTATCTTGGGTTTGAGGAAAAATTTCCTCACTCAGTATCCACACTATATGGACTGCTTCACTTGATTTTTGCTGTTGGAATGTTTGATCATCTGCATAGTTTTGTTTCAATTGGCCATATTTTAGTATGGGTTCAACGTCTTTTCTTCTGTTTTGTCTGTTGATACTGAACGTGTGTTTTTGGTTTTGAAACCAGGATTTCTACGTATGAAATTTTGTTTCAGATGCTGATGAAGTATTTTTACGTATATTTTTTTGTTTTATAGGGATTCAAGGTTACTAATCAAAGTCTTTGGAGGTCCACTCTTACCTGGCATGCGATTTCAGCCACCAGGCATCAGGCTGCTTCACGGTTTGCCAGTCGGCAAAACAATGCTATGGCACTTGCCCAGCTTGGACGTGATGCCTCTGCTGCTGTAAAGTTTCCTTCATTCGTTTCATTTGTTGTGCATTTCATGTTTAAGTGAGTTGCTGCATGCAATATCTTGTATTATTCTGATCTTTGCCGTTGAAAAATTTTCAGGGTGCCGCTCGCCGTTTGACCACACAAAAAAGGAATATTGAGATAGTTGAATCAGTAGGTGTTGCAGGGAAATCGGATTTTAAAAGAAGCGTGAAGCATTTCCGACTAGAGGTAACATTCATTTAGTTGCGGTTGACAGCAATGTGAAGCTTGTTAATTTTTAGTACTTTTCTCTTTACTTCCATTTTCACGGGGTGCTTTTGAGCTGTGGTTTCTGGTGTTGATTATGTTAAGAGGCAGAGATTAGAACACCTGAGAAATTTTCAGGTTTTTCATTTTTCTGATTAAAATAAAATTCAATGTCCGAGCAAGCCTCATTTAAATGGACATGCCACCATTAAGAATATAGATGTCTCATATCTTTGCTTCAAGTACGGATTTGTTCCTTGTATGTTTGACACTTTTTTACTGGACCTGGATCTTTCACAGTTTATCTTGTGAGACGTACACTTGGGGCAATTAAGCATCTTAAATAGCTTCTCTTTTTCTTCTTGCGATTGTCGCCAATACTGCGCTTGTTATCTCATCTATATTTTACCAAATTCCTTCATATTTTTTATTCTTTTCTTGGTCAAATTGATTCAGTTTATCTCTTAATTAATGATAGCAGATGCTCGACAAAGAGCAGGAACAAGAAGACGAGGTTCTTGATTTTAAAGCCCTTGAAAATAACTTTGTAAGTGTAGTTCTGTCTCTTTTTTAATTTTACGTGCTTCCTTGTATTCTCGTGCACAAATACTTTTACTGTGCTTCCTTGGATTTTGATGGGTGTATGGCACTCTTGAACAGGTTGCAGTTACTCCAATCTCTCTGTCCATGCAAGTAGATACTGATACTAAAATAGCTGCTTCAGAATGGATTTCATCTGCGCTGCAAGTCGAGCAATAGAAAAACATACTTCCAGCCGCCATTATTTGTACATTCGAAGAGGCAATTCAGTCATCTTTGTTACCTTGAATTTTATTTTCAAATTTTTTCCTACTTAGCTTTGTAGTCATGAATATCCTCTGAAGCAAATGCTTCCATTGTTAATTTATATGGTTGGCATGCTGTTCGATGCCAGTCCTTCACTAGTTTCTTTGCCACTGACAGAACTTGTCGTCGTCTGGTTATACCATATCGCCTTGCTTCAGTTTGTTTTATGTGGGGGAGGTGGGGTGTCGATTGATTCATGGTTGTATTCGACCTTGTAACTGACGCAGCCAGGTCTGAATGTTTGGATCCTGTGCTTCGCCTGATAGCATTGATTGTATAAAATAACAGATTTGTTTGTTGAATTGCTCTGTTATCGCCATAGCCTTTTTTGATGCATAATGTTTCTCCTGGCTTGTGCTTGGAAATTTTTTTCTTAGGTTGTTAAATTTAAATTGTATTTAAAGAATAAGTAATAATATTTAAAGATAAACAAATAAGTAAAAGTGTTATCCCATCCCACCCTGTATCTAAAAAATCCTTGATCCTCTTGCATTTGTCTTGTACCATCCTGTTGTCAACCTTATACCAACCAATTTCATCTATGGTCTCAGTACCCTTGTTGTAGTCGACTATTCAACGATTCTCCATAATAGATTGAGTGACTATACGCGATGTAGAGTGATAGAGTAGAGGAATTTGGAAGTAAATTGAAATTTATTGAATTAATTGAGATTTCATTGAAAATTCAGTGACCATGGATGAAATTTACTCGAATCGAATTGGTAGCACAACTTTCCTCAGTTGCCGTTATCTAGTATCCAAAACGGTCAGCTTGAGGAACAATAAATGATGATTGATGCAATACGTGATAGAGTGATTAAATTTAAAATTAAATTTATGTTCAGCGTTCCAATTGAGATTTCACTTCAATTGAAAGTCAAGTGACCCAATTGAGATTTAATTGATAGTTCAGGGACCATGAATGAAATATATTCGAACCCAATTTGTAGCCCTGCAGCTTTTCCAGCTTACAACCCACACACACCTTAACCAAATCAAACTCAAAATACAAAGATGGCGACGTCCAAAACCCTAATTCGCACCGGAGTTTCTCTGATAAACCGTTTCATCAACCCGACTGTTAATTCGAACCCGATTCCCCACCACCGGATTGTCTGCCGGAGCCCCCCATTTATAAACCCTCCGCAGCTATTCCCCTCTCTCTTCCTTCCTCAATTTCACACCTCCTTTCTACAATTTCCGCAGCACCAAAACGGTGCCGAATCTCACGGAGAGCTCTTCCTCCACCCCTCTGGCATCCCGTTTCTTCCGTTCTTCCTTCCCGAAGGTCTTTCCCATTTTCCTATTTATATAAATGCACATTTATGTATTGCTCGTACTTGTGCACTTGTGTGTTTATTATAGTATAGAGGTATGGATTCGTATTAGTGGAAATTTTGGGATTTTAGCGAATTAATTGCTACCATTTTTTCTTTTTTTAGGGGCTTTGTATTCGTCATATGAAATGCACATATTTTAGAAGAAAATACTGGGGTGAAGTGTCTGTATTTCCCATTCCATTTCAACACTTATCTTCATGCCAAGTTATGGGTACTTTTAGGAATAGGACGATGTTGATGTGGTGATATATCGACTTATTGGAATAAGATAGGAACAAATTTATGCATTAAGTTTATACTTCGTGACTCAAGTATCTTCCTTTGAAGTTTGAAAACGAATGAAAAGGCTAAACTTGGTCAGGGTTTTCATTGTACTTATTTGCTACGTCTTTTGGTCCAACAATATACTCAAATTATGCCTTACAAAATTAGCCTTGTCACATGGATGTGGTTATTTGGTCAGGTGAAGATGAATGCACAGCTATTTTATATGCTTAACATCTGCTCCATGTTTATTGGCTCTGTTGATCATGTTTTCTATTCTTACATCCTTATAGTTTGTGTCACTCGCTTTGGGATTTTGGGCGTCGCAAAGATATTTTATGTTATCTGGGGACCTGCACTGACCCTAGTTATCTTATATTCTATAATGAAGTTGAGATTGTAGCCTACTACAGTACTACTGTACTAGGAACTAAAGGATTCTCTTAAGTGTCCATACGTACATCAGGATTCATTGGAAGTTCAAGGAAGCCTTCCGCTATGATCAAGGCACGGTGGTGTTAAGCTTGTGATTGCATTTAACTTAGAAGTCTTTTTCTACCTTTTAGGGACATCATTTAAGGCATATCCTCATTTCTTTTTCTGCTTATTTGTTGGTAATCGTTGATTAGTGTGCTTATATATTTTATAATGCCCAAAGCATTGAAATTGGGTTATAAATGCCGTATTGAAGTTATGATCAGCAAGAGTAGCTTGTTCTATTAGGAGTACATTTTTATGGTATTATGCATTTTTACTGAAAAATATATTTTCTCCATCAATTTTATGGTTGGGCTAGTGCAGGTTTTGCATTTGGTTTAAGTGGTTAAAGTGTTTGATGGAATCCCTAGTATAGCTACTGTTTCTTATATGCCACTAAAATTTGATTTTGGAATTAGGAGATATTTCAAGAGCTATGTTAGTGGGTCCCCGACTTCTTGTTCAAAGGATAATGACCTGAAAGGTTTTCATGATGACTCAGCTACGTTTCTCTTCAATCGAAGCAACTATGATAATTGTCAAAAAGATTCTTGGAAAGATTATGCCACGCTAGCGAGTTCTGTCCAAGTCTTAATTTGGGTCTACGTGAAGAAAGGACTTTTGAGTGTCTGATTCATGGTGCAGTTCAATAACTTGATTTTTTTGTGAGTTTATATAGTTAGATTAAGTTGCAATGATTCTTTTTACTCCTACCTCCATGGAGCCTTCCAAACCCGACCCCTCTTCCCAAAAAATAAAAAATGAAAAGAAAAATAGAAAATCATGGAGCTTCTTTTCATTGGGCTTTACAAATCGTTAATTGAGCCAATGACCACTACTTTTCTTCTTCATTTAAATTGAAAAGCGAGAGAGTTGAAGTTTGCACAATTGCTTTATTTTCTTGTCTATTTTGCTTCCTGCAAAAATTGGTTTATGATTTTTCTTTTTTCTTTACCCTACAGGAGATGATTCTTCATCAAGTGAGTCAATGATTTTACTTCCGAAGCGAACATATCAACCGAGCAACATCAGGCGCAAAAGGACACATGGATTTTTCGCTCGGTACCCCCCTTCTCTTTCTGTCTACAATTTCCGGTCATGGATATGATGAAATTATCATGGTGATATATGATTAAACTGGTAGAGTATTTTCAATTCTCGAACTATACAAGCAAGCTAGAAAAGGATTACCGCCTCTTGCTGGCTCCTACCTTCCATTCTATGGGTTATGGACGTCTGTTTTTACATGGAATGATATCAAGGAATGGTATCAAAATCTCGAGCCATTTTGCTGCAAAAATCTATTGTTTTTCTTCTCTTCCTGTTACCACTATTTGTCCGTCTTCCAATTGCTACCAAACACAGTTCCTCAAATGTAAATGTGAGACTACACCTCCTTTTGTTCATAACTGGTAGACCTAGGTCTCAAAAAATTATTTCCTTCAATTACTTAATTAACCACTTTTCATGTCCATCATTGACACCACCAAACTCATTTATGTGGTCCTTTGTGCCGTGCTATAACTAATACATTTTCTCTACTCTGGACAGGAAAGCAACAAAAGGTGGCCGGAGAGTTATTGCTCGGCGAATCGCAAAAGGTCGGTCCAGAATCACAGCTTGAGAACTCTTGATTGTAGACAAGTTTTAGTCAAATCACCTCACCCGTTGTGGGTTGGTCTGCTCAATGTTAGGTTGGGATATAGAAAGTCGAGTTAATCTATTTGGCCTTTGGGGGGCATTTCAAGTGTTTCCAATGCATTGGAGATTTTGGCTCATTCCCAATAAATTTAGTGTCAGCTATATGAATCATTTTTGGTTGCTTTGGGTTTTTTAGTGTGATCACATTAATTTTTTGTTCCTTTTCTTTGTTGTGCGAGTTTCTTATGCAGAGAAAGCTGAACAAATCTACGAAATTGTAGTTTGTGTTATGAATTCAATAGTTGTCATGTAGATAAAAAATGCATCTGAGAAAATAAGGGGCCCTTCTTTTTGCATTTCAGTTTTGAATTCATTTTCTATTTTGTGTTTTGAGCGCTGTTTTGAGATTACTGAAAATGCATTCTTTTTGTCATTTTGAAAAACTGTTTCTAAAAACAGAAAACTGAAAAATGCGTTTACTTTGAAATTTTGAGAATCTTGAAATACTTTTTTCCCCACAGTTTGCATACAGAAGTTGATCTCACATAGTGCATACAGAAGTTGATCTCCATCAATCAACGGATCAACAGAGCAACAACTAATGAAATAATGATCGTGTAACAATGCTATTAAACAAAAAGAACTAAAACAAGCAAATAATAGATGAACACTAGAAAATAACATCTGATTCCAGTAATAACAATAAGAATAAAACAGTAAACCAAGCACCACCAGCTTTGATCACATTCCTAAATTATCCAACGTATTAATATCATCACAAAGACACCAAAACAACAATCTCGACAACGAAAAAAGTTCAGTTGAAATACCATGAATAAAAAATAGTTCAATTTCTGCAATTGAATGAGTACCCAGTGTCGTTTGATGATGAATTTCAGTTCCCCCAGTTTGATTTTTAGATTGGAGCATATTTGAGTGTTCGATTGAAATGGGGTTGAGCGGCATTTCGTGCGTGTTTGTTATAGGTTCATTGATTGGCAGATTCGAACTAAATTGACGAAGACCCATATATGTATCTTGTCCGCCATAATGAGTAGGAGGTAATGGTTGTGGTGTGCGACCGTGAATTTCAACGTAGGCGGCGGAAGAAAGGGATGCAGTGTGCATGGTTCGCTGCATTCGAACTGGGCAAGATCTTTCCCCTTTCCTTCAAATTTTAGTATGGAATTGAAGAGTGGGATGATGACATGTTGATGGTGTGGAAAACCGGTGGTTTGTCGGATGGTATAGTGGTTGAATTTGGAGTAGAAGGTGCCGGCTCCATAAGGTGTGGAACTGTTGTTTGTTGAAGATGGCGTGGAATTGTGATTTGTTTTATTTTGCCCGTTTCCCGTGTTTTCAACTTGTTTTGGTGTTTTGGCTTAAAAACATCCAAAACGAAGTTTTGGCCGTTTTTCGTTTTGTGTACAATTTTTTTTTGTGTTTTCAAAAATTCGATTTCGAAAATGGGAAAAAGAACGTGTTTTCACCGTTTTGAAAAATCGAAAACAGAAAACGGCCCGAAAACACCAAAGAGAATGGTCCCTTAATGTTTCCAANGAAAAATTTTGGATTAGATATTTTTATGTAATTTGAAGAGGTCATGATGGGGGAATGGCTTGTTAGTTATTACCAAGGGAAAATTACTTTGTTCCTACATTTTTGGTTTCAAGTTAAGATATCAGGTGGTAATAAATTTTTATTAAAAAAAACCAGGTATATTTAATATCCTTATCCCATCTAAACATAATTTAATATTCAAATTAAAGGGTGTGTAGATATACCTTATTTTTTTGGCCCCCTTTAAATTCCATAAAATTCATTATTTGCCAAAATTTTCAGGATAATGCTAGAAGTACATCACCATCTACATAACGGTGTACATAATGCTAATGTGTCAATCATCCAGTCATTGATGTGTCAGTGTCAAATTTGAATTAAAGGTCGGATGATTGCCACATTAGCATTATGTACACCATTATGTAGATGGTGATGTACTTCTAGCATTATCCAAATTTTCAACCACATGTGGGCCCATGTGTGCATTCCAACTGACATTGAAGTGTGGAATTGGTGGTTAATAATAATAATAATCAATGGAACATTTTAAACTAGAGGACTAAAAGACCATAATACTCCTAGGTGCCAAAACGGGGGGTCTCCATTGGGGGTAATTTTGTAATTTGTTAGGGAAGGTGGAGGGTGATAATGTCCTTACATTGTTCAATGGTCCCTTGGTTATTGATATCCTCTACCAAGTGATTAGATAGGGTGTAGACATGGGTCCCACTATTGTAAAAAAGGGTGGGTTGAAAGAATAATGTTGTTTGTATAAAATTGGTTGACAAAGAAGGGTGACAAAGTGACGTGTACGGTCCAGATCATTTTGGGTGGACGGCTCTGATTTTATTTCCAGGTGAGGGCGCCAAATTCCCCAAGTTTTGCATAGTACCCATTTTCCCAAATTTGATACCCATTTCCTCTCCCCATTTTTGTTCCCTGTTTCCCCCAAATCAGTGAATAACCATTTCCGGCCATAACTCTAGCCACTTTCTCCATCTCCGGTCAGGAGCGTAGGCGGCATTTTACTCTCCATCTTCGGTCGCGGCTGTGAAGGCATTTTCTTCCACATTTTCTTCCATATTACTCCACTCCAGCCACATTTCATTACAAAACAAGGTATGAAGCTGTAAGTTAAAACTATTTTCAGCATTTCTTAGAGTTCAAGGATGAAGGATTCTGTCCATGACACTTTTTTTATTTGGCACATAAATAAATTGACGAAACAACATGATTTTGACTATTGAATCTGTTCTTTTCAATGTAGTGTTTACGGGTTTTTTTGGTTTTGTGTTCTTTGGCACATAAATAAATTGATGAAACAAAATGATTTTGACTATTAAATTCGTTCTTTTCAAAGCATGTTGAAGATTCTGAGCTCAGATTTGTCGATCGATGTTTTGGTGGTAGAAGACCGTCTCTGATACGATGTCGGCTGTGGAAACGAAGCGGATCTGGGCCACACCACACTACTCAAGTTGGCCGGCTGTTGGAGGAGGGGATGCCGTAGGAGGTTCTGGATTTGACCGGACGCCGGAGGTTTCATCATTTTGTTGGGGGGAGGGAAGAGAACGGGAAAATTGTTCCGGTTTTCACGGGCCGATTTTCACGGGTCATGGCCGGCCCGTCCTCTTGACACCTCTACTCCTAGGTGCCAAAACGGGGGGTCACCATTGGGGGTAATTTTGTAATTTGTTAGGGAAAGTGGAGGGTGATAATGTCCTTACATTGTTCAATGGTCCCTTGGTTATTGATATCCTCTACCAAGTGATTAGATAGGGTGTAGACATGGGTCCCACTATTGTAAAAAAGGGTGGGTTGAAAGAATAATGCTGTTTGTATAAAATTGGTTGACAAAGAAGGGTGACAAAGTGACGTGTACGGTCCAGATCATTTTGGGTGGATGGCTCTGATTTTATTTCCAGGTGAGGGCGCCAAATTCCCCAAGTTTTGCATAGTACCCATTTTCCCAAATTTGATACCCATTTCCTCTCCCCATTTTTGTTCCTTGTTTCCCCCAAATCAGTGAATAACCATTTCCGGCCATAACTTTAGCCACTTTCTCCATCTCCGGTCACGAGCGTAGGCGACATTTTACTTTCCATCTCCGGTCGCGACTGTGAAGGCATTTTCTTCCACATTTTCTTCCATATTACTCCACTCCAGCCACATTTCATTACAAAACAAGGTATGAAGCTGTAAGTTAAAACTATTTTCAGCATTTCTTAGAGTTCAAGGATGAAGGATTCTGTCCATGACACTTTTTTTATTTGGCACATAAATAAATTGACGAAACAACATGATTTTGACTATTGAATCTGTTCTTTTCAATGTAGTGTTTACGGGTTTTTTGGTTTTGTGTTCTTTGGCACATAAATAAATTGATGAAACAAATGATTTTGACTATTAAATCCGTTCTTTTCAAAGCATGTTGAAGATTCTGAGCTCAGATTTGTCGATCGATGTTTTGGTGGTAGAAGACCGTCTCTGATACGACGTCGGCTGTGGAAACGAAGCGGATCTGGGCCACACCACACTACTCAAGTTGGCTGGCTGTTGGAGGAGGGATGCCGTAGGAGGTTCTGGATTTGACCGGACGCCGGAGGTTTCATCATTTTGTCGGGGGGAGGGAAGAGAAAGGGAAAATGGCGGAGAGAGAGAGAGAGAGAGAGAGAGAGAGAGAGAGAGAGCGAGCGAGCTGTTGGGTTTTCTAATTCAATTTTTTTTTTTTTAAATTGCCACGTCACTTTTGTAAGGAGACTTTGTTAAGCTACTTTGTACAAGTAGCATGACCGGGGTTGAAAACTGATTAAAAATAAAATTAAAGAGAGATAAAGGGGGCCAAATAGGGGCATCCATTTGAATCAATTATCAATTAATCTCCCATTTGTCTCTATTTAAAATATATATTTTCAACATTCACACGATTAAATATTTTGTATGTAAAGTAAAAATTTTTTCTCAATTTTTAATCACTCATTTTCAAAAAAATTATTATTTAAAACAACAATTTTTCTCAATAAAGACCATCAAACATGAGCTAAATAAAGAGAAGAAATTAGACGAGGTTATCAAGCAATTGAGTTAAGATATTTTTTTAAAAAAAAAGAATTTTTTTTTTAATAGAATAGAAACATAAAAATGAATAGATACCCACCAATCAATTTCAACTTACAGCAATAGATTTGGGCTAGGAGTGTCAACGAGCTAAGCTGACTCGTGAGTCGAAACTTGAGGTTCGGACTCGACTAGAATAAAAACAATTCAGGCTTTTTTTTTGGTCCGAATCGAGCCAAGCAACCCGACCCAAGCTTTTGGCTTGAGCCTTGTCAAATAGAGCCGACTCATTTTTTTCCCTTAAAATACAGGCAGTTTCTTGCCATAACAGGTAGCTTGTAGCTGCATGTGTTTTATTTATTTATT